TAGTATACAATCTCCAGAATTCGGCTATAATTTCTTACATGTGCCGATGATTTCAGACGTTTAATCATAAGAGAAGAAAATGACTTTTGCTAGTTGAAGCAATAAGTGCTGATTAGTAATGGTAGCATTAACCTTGATGGATGTTGAGGATCCTGTTGTTTTACGTCTCCTCTAAGTTTGAGTGGGTAACTTGTAGGACAGTTTGAGTTGGTTTTTTAGTGGACTCGGTTTCCCCCATTCTTCATTTTGATACTAATGTTTATCGAGTTGTTCCCCGTCCTCTGGGTTACGCTTATAGCAATAAGCGTAATGTTTCTGGCTGATGATGTGTATAAAAGGGCAGGCTACCCACTGTTGCTTGTGTTTCTGGATCTTCGACAGCCTTTGTTGCCACTGTTGTTATGGCAACAACTTCCCCTACTCTTTCCCTTTTCAGAAGCCGACTCTCTCCTGTAGCATCCAATTTGTTACGTTCAGCTTTCAAAATGAATTGCTCGGATGCTTCGAGTACTTAGAGTTTCATAGCCAAAGATTTTACCATTTGGTAACCGATAGTTCGTACGTAGAAACCACAAATCTGCATCAATTCCCCAGATTGAAACCAGACGATAATCTGACCATAAAGCTTGAAATTAACAAATATAATAACTTAAGGCCAAGGAGAAGTCCAACTGAGTTGCGAACACAACGGTTCCCACATTGCTGGGACAACTACAAGGACAACTTAGAGACATAACTATGCTTGAAAACAGTTAAGCTAAGAAGCTAAGCTCGTCTCAAAAGTAGAGGTTATGTGCTCCTTCTTAAAATGAGATCCTTAAAATATTTTATAATAAGATTAAATTGTAAAAATATCAAAATTTATCATATTACGATTATCTCTTATAAAATAAAAAATTTCAAACATATAAAATTAAGTTTTCTTCATTGAATTTTCTTTACACGCGCGTATAATACAAAAAATTGAGTTAACATATATTTTTTAAAGTGTGAGGTTTCTAAATTTTAAGACCGACTATCACAAGTTTACAATAATCAGTAGCCATGTTTTGTAAAGCATCAGGTTTGCTCTTGCCAAACCTTTGCCTAAGGCCCAGTTTACTCAAACCTTTGCTTAAGGCCCAGTTTACTTTCTTTTGTGGGTATGATCGGTTCAGTTTAATTGGATTGATTGTATATATTTAAATTTTTTATCGCATATATAAATAAATTTATTTAGATTCAAATCATCTAAAAATATATAATAAAAATTATTTACATAAAAAATCACTTATGTTTATATTTTGTCCACTTTTTGTCATTGATTTTTAAAAATCATAAGATATGATTACTTTCATTTTTATTTAATTACGATATAGTCACCTCGAGTTAACTGTCGTTAACAACAGTTAAATATTTTAATATAATCACACATGTAGTCTCATTATTTACACATTCTCTCAATTTAGTCATACTTTTAATAAATTAAAATAAATATAATCCTATTTTACAACCCGGAGTTGACTTAGAATTTTTTCAAGTCGAATAGAGTAAAATCAAATTTTCAAGTTTCTGTTTAAATTTAATTATAAATATTTATAATATTATGATATTATTTGATTCCAATTTAAATGATCTTTTATAATCATATACAATACATGTGTATTTCTTCATTGTTTTCATATGTGATATACATTTATGATACAAAGTCGAGAGACTCAACTCAAACTTGAAAACCAATCCACTAATTACTAAATTTTTTAGTAATTCGAGTTGTATTTTACAACTCGGTTTGAACTTAAAATTTTTTCGAGTCGAGTCAGGTTTATGAAATTATAACTCGAAGTTAATTCAAGTCAAGTCGAAAAAATCGGTTCTTTGAGTTGAGTCGAATTTCGCTCAACCCCTAATGTCACATGTCACCGTTCGGTTGGAGGATTAACTTTCATAAACTCGACTCGACTCGAAAAAATTTCAAGTTCAAATCGAGTTGCAAAAACAACTCGAATAACTCAAAAAAAATAGTAATTAGTAGATTGATTTTCAAGTTTGAGTTGAGTCTCTCGACTCGACTTTGTATTGTATATGATTATAAAAGATCATTTAAATTGGAATTATATAATAGCATAATATTATAAATATTTATAATTAAATTTAAACAGAAACTCGAAAATTTGATTTTATTCGACTCGAAAAAAATTCTAAGTCAACTCCGAGTTGTAAAATAGGACTCGTCAACTCGAATAACTCAAATTTTTTTTACTCGAATCGATCGAACGCTCACCCCTACGCGGCATGACATGTGACATCATTCGATTGAAAGATTAATTTTATTTTAATTTATTAAAAAGTCTGACTAAATTGAGATAATATATAAATAACAGGGACCAAATGTATGATTATATCAAAATATTTAATTGTTGTTAACGATAGTTAACTCGGGTGACCATATCTTAATTAGATAAAAATAAAAGTGACGACATCTTAATTAAATAAAAACGAAAGTGACCATATCGTATGTTTTTTTGAAATCAGTGACAAAAAAATGACAAAACATAAACGTAAGTGTAGGAATGGCAACGGGGCGGGTTCGGGGCGGGTTTTGCTCCCCCATTCCCGTCCCCGAAATAAATCCTCATCCCCGTCCCCGCCCTTTCCTTGTCGGGTTTTTTATCGGGGCACCTCATCGGGGATTTTTTTTCCCCGGCCCCGTACCCGACCCGAAATGTTATACCCGAATCCGACTCGATCCTGAGAAAAATCGAGCAGCCGTAGTTTTCATAAAAAATAGAAAAAAAACGATCACAAAAAACTGAAAAATTAGTCTACATGATTTACAATTCAAACTACAGTCACATATTCAAACTCAATTCTAAATAATTGTCTAAACTCCAAAATAAAACACATACATAATTAAATACAAACTTGTTATGATATTCAAATCATACAACGAAGATACATATGTAATATTAAGTCAAATAAAGTCATCCAAAATCGTCGTGCCACTTTTGTCACTTTCTTTGGTAGCTCCCTACATTGAGAAATTTATCAATAAATCAACCAAATTTTACTTTAATAATTATAACAGTTAGGGTTTAGGGTTTAGAATTTAGGATTTAAATATTTAGGGTTTAGGGTTTGTATTATATAATTAATATAAAATATATAAAATATTATATATATATAATTAATATAAAAAGTATAAAATATTATTATATATATATATATATATATAATCGGGGTGGGGCGGGGATACCTTGCCCCGAGCCCGAACTCGAAAATATCCCCGAATTTTACCCCGATACCCGACCCGATATTATTCAAACCCGAAACCCGACAACCCGACCCGAACTTAGTCGGTTCGAGTTTTTCTATCGGGTTCGGGTCAGGGTCATTCTGTCATTCCTACGTAAGTGATTTTCTATGTAGTTAACTTTAAAATATAACATTTCCTATACCATTAAAATGGTTTCTTCTATTTTAGTTCAATTTGAATTAGAATCCTTTTGGACGGGGTGAAGTTAAAAATAATAAGGTGGTGAGACTTATTGAAGTAGCAATAAGTTTATACTTGCAAATTAACATTACATATATTAGTTTAAAATATATATACATAATTTAATATAATAAATAATTAAAATTATATTCACATTAAATAATAAATTAAGATTATATTTTTGTTAAATATAAGATCGTATTTCTATTAAAGCTTTAATTATTTAAAATAATTTATATTAAATAATAATTAGATTTAATATTTATGATAACAATTATATATTCACTAGATTATGATATAAAAAAACAATATTTTATATTTCCAACACGATAAAATCTGTATTTTAAACCGACGAGTGGCTCTTTTTAAATGGTTCTTATCGAGACCAACGTGGTAAAATTCGTGTTTTAAAATGAGGAATTATTTTGCAATGTGTATTTTATATACCCAATGAATTATTTATTAATAAATATTAACTAGGGTTTAAATTCCAATATCCTTCTGCATGGACCCTACAATAATTAATTATTGTAATATATTATCCCATTATGGAAAAGAGAAGTGCAGCTAGGGATTAATTAATGGAAAGGTGATGTCGTTTTCTACTATCACTAGGTAAGCTCTATTATATCAGCAATATAAGGTCATGGTTAGTATACAATTAGTTTCATAAAAAAAATAAAGAAAGTATTAGACTAATGCTGAATTTGGGGTTCTAGCATATATTGCATATACATAGAGTAATTTTCAAAACAAATGATTAGGTCTAAAATCTAAATGAATATTATAGGAAAAAGCCAGGCGGCAAAGCAGACCCGTGGAGGCGGAGGCGGCTCCAGGGTCAAAACTATTTAATCTGACCGGCGCCCGCCCGACCCTACCCGGTTAGGCCAGGCAGTGAAAAGGGTTACTGACCTTGTCCCTCGTGGATAACCTTTTTGAACTTTGAAATTAGAATTGTGAATTTTAATATTTAACTTAATAGTAAATATTTATTGAGAGGTTCGATGAATCTTTAATTTTAAAATATTGTATTATAAAAATTAATCTTATATTTAGTAAAGTACAAGTATGGCAAAAAGTAGATCAAAGAAAGAAAATTGGGAAGTGGGCGGGTACGGCAGTTTCGGGATAGCTTTTAAATTCATATATGGATCGATTCATTTGTAGTTTTCTAATCATTTCATGGGACAACTTGACTTGAGCATCTCTAGGTTTGGCTGCCTTGATCAATGCCATACCTCTAGCAAGGGGAATTCCCATGCCTTCTCTAGTTTTGTTTAATGAACTCCCTTTTGTATCAATGTGCTTGTGAACTCAAAACTGGAAACTTAAACATAAAATGTTAAAATTCATTGAATTTCACTGCCCCCCATTATTCACAGCGTCTAAAGTAACCTCAACTACCCAAAAATGGAATGATAATACTGGCTGGCTGGTTAAACCTGAGAGAATGTGTAAACGTGTTAATATCCATGGTATTTGACTCAACTGAGTCAGCTCGAGGTGGTGGAGCAGAGGCGTCCCTTTCTGAACCTTCTTCCTTTCTTCCAAAACTCTGTACTATTTATTACTCATTTTCAACAACGTCAACGAATATTACTGCCTCTACTGTTTTCTAAGTTCCTGCAAACCCAAATTGATATTTTGTCTTCACTACAGTTTCCATTCCTTTTGCTTTAGTCTTTGGCTTCTGAAAAAGAAACCCAGAAAAGAGAAATATGAAGGGGTTGTCGCTATGGTGCTGTATTGTGGTTTTGTTAGTAATGGAGGGAGGAAGAGTAATGGGAGCAGGCGAGAGTTCAGGGGAGAGGAAGCTTGATCAGACACCTACATGGGCTGTGGCTGGTGTTTGTGCTGTTATCATCATCATCTCCATTACATTGGAGAAGGTTCTTCACAAACTTGGAACGGTAATCCCTCTTTTCTTCATCAAGTTTTTACCTTTTTTGGGGTATTTAGATTTAATTCACTTTATCATTGTCATCTCGACTATTTTGGCACTCAGTGGTTCACAGAAAGACACAAGAGAGCTTTGTTTGAAGCCTTGGACAAGGTTAAAGCTGGTGAGTCAATGGCTTTATTTTTATGAGTCACTAATAGTTATGCATTCTGCTTTTAATTGCCAGAAACTGGTTGTGCAAACAAGTTGCTTCTTGGACTTATGTCTGATGCTCTTATGGTTAAGTTCTACGAGCTGTCACTGTTTTGCCCAATAATTTTTTGACTTATAACATGATTATTGCAGAGTTGATGGTTCTGGGTTTCATTTCACTGCTCCTCACTTTTAGCCAGAGCTATATTGCCAGAATCTGTATCCCTACAGATGTTGCAAATACCATGCTGCCTTGTAAAGCTGATGTTAAGGAGGAGCACGCCCCTAAAGACAGTGAAGAAGAACACCGCCGCCGACTCTTATGGTTTGACCGACGAATTTTGGCTACGATTTCATCTGCTCCTAAATGCAAGGAGGTGAGCCGAGCTCAACATCTATTAATGTCCAAGTTGTGTGGTTTTTTACTATTAATTTTTGAATTTGATCATTTACAGCTTCCAATTGGTCTTATATATACCATTTTGTAATGAAAAACAAAAACATTTAATACTCCTTTAAGATACATGAAGTCACCCTTCTACATCTTGCTATTGCATGGTCAATTACAGCCATATGGAGGCTTCTCTTATTTACTTTTCTGGGTTAATCTTCCTGAAACTGTAACTATCTGGATTTTCTCTGCAGGGGCATGAACCGCTTATATCGGTTGAAGGGTTGCATGAGTTACACATCCTCATATTCTTCCTAGCTGTTTTCCATGTTTTATATAGTTTTGTTACTATGATGCTTGGGAGACTAAAGGTAATTAAGTTTTATCGTATACGTCTGCATTATGCATGACCCTCTTTCTCTGCTCTACTGCACTAGATGCATTCTTAAGGATTATCAAGTATGTTCTTTTAAACTAAAAGTTGCTTTGAGCAGATTCGTGGCTGGAAGAAGTGGGAACAGGAGACCTTATCTCATGACTATGAGTTTACAAACGGTATGTTTTCCTCCAAGTAACAGCTTCCGGTGCATTTTATAGCTTTAAATCTTCTACTGTCAAACTTAATTTCCCAACTTTACTGTTGCAATCTTGGAAACTTACATAGATGCGTGGTTGTTTTCGCAGATCCCTCCCGGTTCAGGCTTACTCACGAGACGTCTTTTGTGAAAGCTCACACCAGCTTTTGGACTAGGATTCATTTCTTCTTTTACATTGTAAGTAATTGTATAACCAGAAAAAATAGTGCCATCTGTTTAATAAGGAGTGTCAAGTAACCAGATACTGACCAGAAAGTGCAACCATTTTGGTTCCGCTTGTGGCCCGTAACTCGTAAGGTGATGCACGAAGCTGAAATCGAAAAGGATAAGTTATTTCACGTTAGTTATGACTGCATTAGGAGATGTTGCACCAGTTAATGACCAAAAAATGAAAATTCTGTACTGACCTTAGCCATTCACTGCAGGGATGCTTCTTTCGACAATTTTTCAAGTCCGTAGGGAGGGTTGATTATTTGACATTGCGAAATGGATTTATCAATGTGAGTTTCTTTCAATTGCAAAGCCAACGATATTTAGATGTCTGTCCGTCCTTCTGTTCCTGACTATTTCAAACATGTCTTGTAGGTTCATTTAGCACCCGGAAGTAAGTTTAACTTCCAAAAATATATCAAAAGATCATTAGAGGACGACTTCAAGATCGTTGTAGGAGTAAGGTACTATCAATATTTCTGTCTTGCACCAGACAACTTTCCTTGCTGTTAATATACCTGATCATAGGTTTATCTTGTGTACAGTCCGGTGCTCTGGGCATCATTTGTGGTCTTCCTGCTGCTAAATGTCGAAGGTGAGCCGCTTTTTCTCGAGGCGATTAACATTTTGCTATGATAGGCTGAAATAGAAGCTGAATTCTGTTTGCTAATAAAACATACATGTTTTTGCAGGGTGGGAAGCAATCTTTTGGGCATCCCTAATTCCTGTGATTGTAAGCAACATTTCTTTATAGCAGTTTCTTTATAACTATAGTAGAAGATTTTGAACTTCTAATTGTTTCATACATGACAGATCATCTTAGCTGTTGGGACAGAACTTCAAGCCATTTTGACAAAGATGGCTCTCGAGATCACCGAAAGGCATGCTGTTGTTCAGGGAATGCCACTTGTACAAGCCTCAGACAAATACTTTTGGTTCGGTCGACCCCAATTAGTTCTGCATCTGATTCATTTTGTATTGTTTCAGGTATTCATTACTTTCGACTTTGATCGATTAACGAATATAAGAATAGCTGCCTTTTTAACAGACAATCCTTCAGTTATTTTCTATCATAGTTGTCTAGTATATTTCATGCGAAGAGTACTTATCATGCTGTAATGGCTGTCTGATCCATATTTTCTTCGTTTTCGCAGAATGCGTTCCAGATAACTTATTTCCTGTGGATATTGGTAATTATCTAAGCTCTACCAACTTGTCCATTTTCTGCTTTTCGGCTTTCGCATGCTCTTTTATTCTCTTTTATTCATGTTTCTTCGAACCTTCTTTTTAATATTGGTGTAAGTACGTAATTTTTTGTTTGTAATTCCTTGTGCAGTATTCCTTTGGGAAGAATTCCTGCTTTCATGATAAGTTCGGGCTTGTCATAGTAAAACTTTCTTTGGGGTAAGCTTAAGCTCAAGTACCATCAGTTTATTGTGGATGGTAATATCATGCACCACAGATACTTAAATGTATTGCTCGAATGTTTTTCGTGATTTGCAGGGTCGGAGTTCTACTTTTGTGCAGCTACATCACCCTTCCGCTGTACGCCCTTGTAACTCAGGTGCCTCTTCGATTTACGACATCGTTGATTTGATCCTTCAGTAATTTTCTTTACTGTGAACTGTCCATTATGGATAGAGTTAAAACCGAGTGATGCTTATAATGCCGGATACTTGCAGATGGGTTCCCACATGAAGAGGTCCATCTTTGATGAGCAAACGTCCAAGGCCCTTAAGAATTGGCATATGGCTGCTAAAAAGAGACGAGGGAATGCAACAAAGTCCCCTACTAGAGCCCTGGGTGGAAGTGCAAGCCCGAGTCCAACACTCCATTCCCCCGGACACTCGCTTCGTCGGTTCAAAACTACCGGTCATTCAGCGCGTCCTTCGAATCTCTTTGAAGATCATGACTTGTCCGATCTCGAGGCCGAGCCATTGACACCCGCATTGAACGACAATTTGACAATAAGAGTGGACCCCGATGGGCCAGCAACCGAAATGAGCGAAATCTACCATGTAGAAGCAAGAAATGTAGACAACTTCTCCTTCACGAACTCCTCCCCGGCAAAGGAAACATGAAAGATTGTTGGGTAGGATAGGAGGCTGGGCAAGTCGGATTCGGTTTGCTTGGAAATTGTACAATAAGGGGCACTGGCGGATCTATACTTGTATCAGAGTCCATCCTAAAATTTTATGTCTATTTATGTTGAAAATTTATATATATATATATATATATTATATATATTTACGTAGATATTGTTAATATATGTATGTTCGACTTCAAAAGTATTTTTTAAATTTGTCAGTAATAATAGGCATATTATTATTTCTACCATTACTAGTTATTCTAAAAACATGGAGCGTGGAGTGGACACCCAGCCAGCAACCGGCATATGATCTCATTCTCATATCAAACTGCCATGTACTTTAAGACGACGACTGTGACTCCCATCTCTTTCTAATTTCTATAATTTCATATTAATTTTCAGAGTAAATTATACCAAATAGCATTGAAGTATAAGTTTACTATTAATTAAACTATTTAAATTTAAATTGATTTTGAGTTAAGTTTTAATTTATATTTCACCTATATTATTAAACTGTTAAATCTAAAATGACACAACAAAATGAACAACGTTGTTTAACCTCACTGGAATGATATTGATGTTAAAATAATATCATATTAATTAAATAAATATTTATAAGTAAAAAACGATATTTAAACTCTAACGTTATAACTAAATTGATTTGAAGTTCAATATTAATTGATATTAAGCCTAATGTTTATTTGTGTTTATTGTAGTTTATCTAATTTTAATTTAACGTAAGATACGATGAGTTACAACAAAAAGGGATATGGTTCAAACACTTAAATATATCAAGTAACAATTATATGTCAATTATTTTAAGACGTATATCTTGAAGTCTTCATTAAAAACGAGAGGAAGCAGTATTATGCAATTTTAAGCCAATAGGACACCGACACATTTAAAAATCATATGAATATAGTAACTTTTGTGTTGGATAAAAATAATTATCTTTTTATGTCAAATTGATAAGATTAGTAAGGAAATGATCACGTGCGTCATCTTTAATATACAGTTAAAAAATAACGTTATCTATTTTATTATTATTTAAATAATAAAATCGGTATAAAAAATATTATTATTTCTATCGATTTTATTATTATTGGGCGTTTTACCGGGTTTGATAATATATATGGTAAAAAAATAATGTTTTAAGTAACACTTTACTAGATATATTATTAAACTCGATAAAGCGTTCAATAATAACAAAATCAATAGAAATAAAAATATTTTAAGTAATTTTTTATTGATTTTATTATTATTTAACTAATAAAATCGATAACATTTTTTTAATCGTATATAAAATGTGTTGCACTGTAGAAATTCCCGAAATCATAATCTCATCACCAAATTAAAATAGTTGTATTAAATTACATATACAATGCAGAACACATCTTCTGTTGTACGTGTTCATAAATGCATGGCAGACTGCAGACAAGTTTCCGAACCCCTTTTAACCAATATTTTGAAAATCAGATCGGATCGATCGGTTTAAAAAAAAATCATTGTTTATTTCGATTCAGACTATACCGATTGAACCGCTACTAGTGAACCGGTCAGAACCGCAGAACCGTTCAAACCGAACATGCTGAAAACTAGAAAAAACCGTCAATTTTGTTTTTTTAAAAAAAAAATTAAATCAAACGTCGTCGTTTGTTAAACGAGTCAAGTCAAACTCGAGTATTGCTAAGCTTAACTCGAACTTGAAAACTTTAAAAATAAGCTTAACTCGACTCAAACTCACGAGCTAAAAATTATCAAGTTCAACTCGAACTCGAAATATAATATTGAAACTTGAACTCGAAAAGGCTTGAACTCAAAAAAAATTTAGAAGCTCGATTGAAGTATAAAATTCGAGCTTGATTGAAGTGAAAGAATAGTTCACTCAATGCTCACCAAAAGGCTCCATGATTTCGAATGTCAAATTACCTCTATTATTTATAGAAGTTAGTTGGGATGCTCTTCTATGTTTCTTAGCCATGTGAGATTGTTTTGTTCTCATATTTTTACTCTTGGGATGCTCTTCTATATTTCTTAGTCATGTGAGATTGTTTTAAAAAAAAATTAAACCAAACAATATCATTTTGTTATGATTTTTTTAACTCCAAATTTTTTTTAATATGTTTTACCTTAATTATTATGTTGTAGTTAATTTAAATCATTTTGTTTTACTTGATTTATTGATTTTTAACTTATATATGTTATACTTGCTTTGAATATGACTTGTGATATAAAAAATTATTTTTTATTAAATATTTTTAATATTTTTTATTTAATTTTTTAAATAATTATGACGTCGTCCGGTTCTTTCGACCGGTCAAACCGATTCGACCGGTTAAACTAGTGAACCGATAGCATAACCGGTTCGCTAACCAGTCAATCATCCAATGGCGAATAAAATGAACCAGAAACTACAGATTTCATGATGTGTCTTTTGGATCAGCACGATCTCCGTGGAGTTCGTAAATGCTGTTGTAAAAGAGAGCCTGCAACAATATCAAGATAGCAGCGGAAATTGGAGTTATCAAACACCAGTCTGGAAACTTTTTCAGAATCATTCCGTGTTCAAATTAATGATTTTTCTATCACGGCTTGTTAAAATGGTACTCAAACTTCAATTTTACAAAAGAAATACAGATTACAACGCTTCCTTCCTCCCTTGTTTCCTGGATCTGAATAGTACAACCTCAATTCAGTGCAAAGGAAAACATAAATCAAGTGGGAGAAAAATCAAGGGGGGGGGGGAACAATTATACTTGATTAGGGAAAAAGGGAAAGAAATCCACGATTTTAAGAAGAAAAGTCAGAACCATGATCTATGATCCACTTGGCGATGCCAATGACTGATTGCATCGTCCTAATTGATTCCATCTGACTCAGTAACAGCTAAAAAACCTGTAAGATACAGAAACAAGAACAACTATGAGTGAAAATTCTACTATTAGCTTTCCTTTATGAAGATTTTAACGCTAGGATAAGATTTAGCTATGAGTATTCCAAATCCATTGATTTACAGACAACTTGGCCAAAACATACAAGTGCGGTAAATCAGGCTTTGACATAGTCCATTCCATTGCGCTTCCTTTTGTTAGACTTGGAGAAGAAGCATATTTGAGCCCAACTCTTCTTCTGCTTCATCGGGGGTAATTTAACATCCCTTTTCTCTACAAGATCAGCCATATACCGGATAATAGCCTAAGGAAATGAAGAAATAGCTTTAGCCATGAGATAACATTTTTTTTAAAGTAAGGCATAGCTAGGGAAACATTACCTGTGCACCCTGTTCAGCAATGTGCCTAGGAGGCACTTCCAGGGGATTTTCTTCCACACGTAGAACTTGAAGGCGTGTTAGCATCCTAAAAGAATCTGGGAGCACCCGGATCTGATTATTGCTAATGTCCAGCTCCTCAAGCATCTCAAGGTTCCCAATAGACCTTGGTAGGGATCGGAGATCGGCAAAATTGTTGCCTATGTTCATCTTCACGAGTGTGGTGACAAAAACATAGACTCTCCGGCAAAGACTCGAGCTCGTTGAAACTGACATCTAGTTCCTTCAAGTTTGCCAAAGATGCCATCGTTGTAGGCAATTGTTTGATGTTATTATAGCGCACGGATAAAACCTCCAACGTTTCTATCTTCCCAACTGCTTCAGGAAGGGCTTTGAGCCGGTTATAATCGGCACTTAGCTCTTTAAGTGAAGTGCAGTGACCAATAGTATGTGGAATTTCTTCGATGTCATTTGTCTCCACATTCAGTTTCTTTAGGCTAATGAGTGAGCCTATTGTGTCCGGGAGCGAAGGAAGGTGATTGGAACTCAAATCAAGCTCCTCAAGGCGTACCAATCTCCCAAATGTAGCGGGCAGAGAAGACAACTGATTGGCACTGACATCTAGAAAGACCAAGCTGAGAAGATCGCCAATGGAATCTGGGAGTCGAGCAATCTTATTTGAATGCAAATCAAGTCTCTTCAATGATGAAAGGCCGCCAATGGTGTCAGGCAAAGCTGCAATACGATTGTCAGACAAATCGAGTGTAAATAAACTCGACAACTTTCCTATTGAGTCAGGAAGCCAGTCAATTTTATCCATCAACTTAGCTTGGAGGTTGAGATCTCGAGTGCCTTTCTTTGCAGAGACTTCAATTATACTTGCTAACTTAATCAAACTCAACTTCTCACCATCTTGAACTGCACAAGCAAGTAATATGCTGGAGTATTAGAGAAAGAGAAAACAGGGTTGTAGCAGCAAGCTGAACAAAGTGCTACCAAAATCTTAGTCAAAATCTTTTACTTAAAAAACAAAGAAATCAAGTCAAGTAGAAGCTAACCGGAAGCAGCGGCTCCCCCAGGTTTAAGAGAGGAATCCAATATGTGAGGTGTAGATGAAATAGAAATACCCAACCCGCCGTCAGTAGCGTTAGCATAGAAGGATGACTTTGAATTCTTAACGTAACTGTCATCTCTGGAGAATAGTACTCGTTCTGATGCAGGCTCCCTGGCGGTGAAGGACGACGAAGTGGCGGCGGCAAATGAGTTGTTGGAAGGCGGCGGGGTAGCGGTGGTTCTGGGCAAGGCGTTTGAGCAGGTGGGTATATCGTGAGATTTCGAGGAGGAAGAAGAGGAAAGGCAATTGGATGCTCTCTGGATAAATTCATCGAACAAAGCATGGACGGCCTCGAGATCCAGCAATTTATATGCCTCCCGCTTCTGCTCCTTGCTCTGAAAGTAAACGCAGTTCTTTTGCATCTCGAGGAGGATAAGGAAGAGCTCCTCGGGGACATTAGGGCTCTTGGTCTGTCGAGCAATGGCGTCGAGCCTAGCTTGGTCTTCCTTCTCCACATTCAGAACGAGCTCCCTGGCAGCTTGAACATCGTCGAGAGCAGGACGCGGCGGCAGAGATCTGTGGATTCTCTCATTATCTCCTCCACCGCTTCGTCAGTGGATTGAACCGCACAGGATTCAACCATATTGTTTTCACGAAGAAAATCACCGAATTGATCGGAAATCTAAATTACACTACAACTCCACGAAACTTAACGGTTAGTCGAACAGAATCTTGACTGATACCGCGATTGATTTCGATATCACCTTCGGCGGCGGCGTTCTCGTCCAGCCCTGAACCGACCGGATCCAATAAAAAATAACCGAAACAAACTGAATCTGGATTCCCGAATCTCGAATTTCAATTGCAATTAGACGAAGATGGATTTAAGATGGGAGGGGGGAAAGAAACAGAAAATGATTACTAGAAACAAAGGAAGGATCATCGCCGCTATTTAAATTAAAACCGGAGTAGTAAAAGTAGTATAATAAAGATAAGATTTTCCAGAAATGAGAAAAACAAATGTAAAATTAAGTGCAGTAATAGTCAGAATCACAGAGAAAAAAGAGAAGAGAGGCTTCACCACCAAATCACTCACTGGTAATTCATTCTTTACATGTAGACCAGACATGGACAGATAGACGTGTTCATGGTTAGATTGCCTAGCTCGGCTTTCTCTTCGCTGCACATGAGTGTAAGCTCGTAACCCATTGCAATTAAGTGTGAACAATTTTATAACTGATTTTTTTATTTATTAATATTTTTTTAATATTAATAAATTTAAACCCATAATTTAAATTGGATAAACAAAATTATATTAATAAAATTCAAGGAATTAAATTTAAATTATTTTATTTTAAATCAAATGATTAAAAATAACCATATCGAGGCATGCAGCCAGTTTCTTTGTTTGTGTTATCATTATGTAATGGATGCTTCCATTGCATTGCAAGACAGATGGAGAGGCTAATTGATAAAAATCCAAAGATGATGTGGCGTCTAATAAATCCAGCTGTTTCGGTGCACTGCTCAGATTTTTTTTAGGAATCTTACTTTTATTAGTAAAATATATTAAGAGAGTATTCCTTTGTTAATTCCATATACTATCAAAGTTATAAAATATCATTCGATTTTTCATTACATTTTAAATTCATCATAATTTGTTAAAAATTTGATAGGATCCTGAGGTGAACGTTAATACGCTGACTGTGATATGATAAAATCTTATCATAGAATCTCAAACAATTATCATATTTACCATCATGGTACATCTACCTTAGACAAACGTTACTTTTTAACAAAAAGGACAGTGTGGAACATAATAAATAGTCGTGTGATCATTTTGTAACTTTTAATAGTAAAAGGACGTAATAAAGCAATGCCCTATAGTTGAGGGACCATTTATGTACTTTACCCAATATATTAAATCTCACTCAATTGTGTTTAAATAATTATTTTAATTATAAGTCTATTAAGTGAGTTATTGGTTAAAGAGAGTAGTTTTTTTTTTTAAATTTTAGATTTTAACAATTGTATTTGTAGGGTATGTACGTTATCAATAGTTAAAAAAGATTTTGAACATATATTATCATTATAATCATCATAAATTAACAATTTAATATAATCTAATAATCAATTTATAACATTTCGATAAAATTTTAATGATTATTTTATAACTTTTAAAAAAAGTAATAACTAAAATATTTATATAAACATAATTCAATAGTACAAACCAATTTACTTCGGTGGTTAAAGAATCGTTGTTGTTTTTAGAGGTCACGAGTTTTAGCACCAGCGACTATAGTAAGATGATTGAGCTTTTATTATCAAATGATTGAGAGTATTTAAAACAAATATTACTTTGTAATTACTTTAACTTAATTAAAAAATAATTCAATAATTTTAATGTATTTTGTCATAATTTTATTATTATTATTATTGTTAAGGAACTGTTGTAATTTACATTTTAGATCATTTAATTTAGTTTTAACTTTTATTTAGATTACAAATTCTTTTAATTTCATCAAATTATATCATTCAATTTTTATTTTATAAACTAAATCACTTACACTAACATCGTTAGATAATTATAAAAATTAACTAAAATTAATACTTTTATTTTATATATTTTTATATATCTTCATCAAATAATGTGTAATTGATAATTTAAATAATACTTTGTCATAATTTTTTCAAACATTTCATTTAAATAAATTCAAAGAAAATATGACTATTTTTTATAATAAAAAAATTAGTTGACCCTATTTCCATATGTAATGATGATATAAAAATATATTAAATAAAACTATCCATTCATTTATTTCATTATAGTTATTTAACAGTGTTAGCATAAATGATAAAAAAAATTATTAATAATAAAAGTAGAATGATGTAATTCAATTAAATTAAAGGTTTATGATATAAATAAAAATTGAAACTAAGTTCAATGATTATAACCGATATTAACCTAAGAAACTGCGTGCAAATGTATTTAGAGTCGAGCAGTGCATGTAGTTACTACATCCTTAATATACGGTTAAAGAAATGTATTACCGAAAATAAATTTTTTTAATATTTCTAGTAAAACGTTATTTAAAACATTATTTTTTTTATCAAAAAATATTATTGTTGCTATCTAATTTCCTGTATAATCTAATATTAACATTTTCGATAAAAAATAATATTTTAGTTAGTGTTTTATCTGAAATGTTAAATATTTTAGGTAGTGCCTAATATTAATATTTTTAGGTGAAAAAATAATATTTTAGGTAGAACTTTACCGAAAATGTTAAAATAATAATAATATTTTCAGTAACGTCTTTCCTTAATCATATATTAAGACTATTATACCTAAGACATCCCGCCATGTGCCAACTACTATGTTCTAGTACTTAAATTCTACTATGATTTCCTAATGATTAAAAATACTTTACTTCTAACGTTTTGTTTACTATACACAACTAAAAATAATTAATCAATCATTCATATCCCTTCATCCTAATAATTCGTTATGGCTTCACCTCTGTCATTACTATACTATTATTTGGATACGAAATATTTTATATAAAATATATTTAATAAATTATCAAATGGTTTGTGTATGAATTAATTAATTTATATTTTTTAAATAATAAAATTTTAATTATTTTATTTAAAAATATATAAATACGTGAAAATATAAATATTTTTTATGATAATATTAATGAAAGAATGTTCGATTTTAAAATGAATTTAAAATAGAAAGCTTTGAAGCATTGATGAAATGCACCCATTGTGATAATTATTATTATTCTGTTTTATTGATTTTATTAAAATATAATATTTTGGTAATAAATCGACAAAACATAAAATTAGAGCCATATTATCTATTTGTGTAAAGCCAATAATGAATTTTTATTTTAAAAACTAGATTGAGATTTGAGTCTGAGTGAGATCTTCTTTAATTTAGTTCAAGCCGAATGAAGAGTGAAAATATATTATAATCGGGTTAGATTTTGATAGGTCAAAATTCTATCCCGACCCATAAATATCTTTGGATAAATAATATCTCTGTATGATTTATGTATGACATCTCATATGAATATATATATATATATATATATATATATATATATATATGAAGAATCTACAGCGTACATCGCATATCACAATAAAATTTAGTTTTGTTTTTAATAAAATTATAATTAAAATGAGAAATTTACTTGTGGTATGTTTTGATACGTAACTTTAGTGATATATTACGATATGCGACGTACATTGTAGAATTTTTCTCTATATATATATTGAAAACATTTAAAATCAACCGGTATCATAAAATTTTAAATAGTTAAGATTGAATATAAACATAAACTAGAATAATTTAATTCAACTTAATTTTTTTTAAAATAAATTCTGATTTATAAAATAAGAATGATCAAATTGAGTAACTAGATCGAGTAATAAAAGAAGGGAAGAGTGAGTTAATGGTGTCTGAGAAGAAGGGAACACGTGTTGGGGTGATGTCGAGAAATGTCCGCCTAACTGTCTCCAGCTGGCGAATGGATAGTCACGGCATAACCGTTTTATCATGTCCATGCCCCCATCAACATGGAGGATGGCACCTTTTCAGAAATGTTTATTAAAAAAAAAATGAATACTTTGAATCAAATTTGAATTTAATGTCAATAAATTTTTATTTTAATAAATTTTATAGTTATGTTTTCGTGAAAAATAAAAGAAATATTTGATATTAAATTTAAATTTAATATAAATTAAAGTTTAGCCACTTAATTAATCGATCGTAGCAATTAGGACATGATTGCTAATTTGTACACAACAATATGATGCGGAATATTTTGAACATATGCAATGTAAAATCTACTTGTTTTCTTAAATATGAATAATTTATTCAATTAATCGATTGTCGTAATTAAATCATATGTAACAAAACTAATAGAATGTCTCGATTGTGGCAAAATTAAGTGAATGTCTCGGTTATAAGTTTTTGAAATACGACAACTCATTTCTAAAATTAGTAATAAAAGAGTGGCATATGATATAATTTATCCCATAAAATATAGTTTAAAGTTTTTTTTAATGATAAACTTGTAATACTCGTTTTTAACGACATAATAACTTGATCGTTACGATCTATCTATTTACTAACCGACTCTATTGTAACTTTTAAAAATATGACTTATTTATAAATTTACTAATAATTGGAATTTGGTTTAATTTACCCCTTATAATTTGACGTTTAAAAGGATTCTCAAATGGTCAAAAGCTTGAGTTTCTAAAGTTTCTTTTGAGAAATTGGTTATTTAACCAAAACAAAAGACCAAACTCCGTTAATATTTATTTGTTTTGAAAATATGGTTGGAAACTCTCATTCTCAAAACGTATTAAAGTCAACTCACAATTAACTCGGTGTACAAAGCAACCTCATAAAAAACAGATGGGGGGGTTCCTTTCAAAGCGGATACAAGATTTTGCCACCCGTCACTGTTCATCAATTACGGGCCTTACGGCCTCATCCGTCTTCACCAACGAGTCACGGATTCAGCATGACTCAATCACGTGCTATGTTTCTCTAATCTCACCAACTCAGCGCACTCACTCCAATAACTCTAAGATGAGTCTACATCTCACGCATATGTTAAAATGATATTTTTAGTCAGTCAACTTTTAAAAAATTATAAAATGAATATTAAAATTTAGATTTCGTTAAAAAAGAGTATTGACATTTGACTATCGTTAAGAGCTAATGTGGCATATTAAATAAATAAAAAAATCTCATTTGCTCAATCAATTGTGACTAAAATTTTATTTTTGATATTTTTCAATAATTTTAAGTAATAATTCCAAAAGATTAGAAAAATATTTTTTAAATATATGGATTTTTGAAATTTATTTTTGAAATTTTAAATATATTTTTAGAATTATATTTAAAACTACTAAAAAAGTTAAAGGATTGAATCACATTGTTTAATAAAAAAATAATTTAATTTTTATAACCAAAGTTATTGGATTTCAAAAATTATAAATTATAAATTTTCAAATGTAACCACAATTAAATAAAAATTAATTATAAAATATTTGTAAATTAATAAATTCATATTTTTAAAAATATATATAATTTTATGAATTAAAAGATTAATTATAAAGTTGTAATTTAAAAAAAAATACTTTTATAATTTTAAAAATGAATCATGAATTTATATATATATATATATATATTCATTTTTTAAAATTATTATTTCAAAATATTGAAAAATATCAAAATAAAATTTAGTTTATAATTGAGGGCTGAATGAGATTTTTTTATATTAATTTAACATGTTAAGTTATCCTTTTAATGATAATTAAATATGTGATATTCATTTTCTAATACAATTAAGAGATTGATTGAATGAGATACTATGTAACTTTTAAAGTTTGATGTTCAAAAGAAATATTTTAGTACAATTTATTGACCATTTAAAAATTTTACCTTTAAAATTAATGGTACGGTACATGGCATGTATTGTATAATTTTCCTAACTCTAATCCGGATTCTTCTAAATCAACGTCACCTCCAGTTGTAGTAACCGCTTCCTTTGGTACCGAACTCAAACAAGACTTTATTAGAAAACCACCTTGAGCCATACCTCAATTGCAAGATTGGTCCCCAACCTAAACTATCAATTTGGTTTCTGGTCCCAAAACCAAATATCAACTGTTGATATGTGACAAATGTAATGTTCTTATCAAATACGGTAGACATGCTATAGAATAACAGTTTATGTCCCACTTTTAACTAAAATGAAGTTAACCAATCTGAAACCCGAGGCATAGCTAAGGGATCAATGTTCTAATAAAGCCTTTAAAAATATTCAACATAAAACAAAACAAAACTCATTTGAAAAGTTTCCAACAAAGGTTTTGTTTTACCCAAAAAAATAAACTGTTGAGAGGAAAAAACCTTATTTAATTAATATTTAAACTAACAGACCTAAAAATATTATTTTACCAAAAAAAAAAATAGGGGCAGCCCCTCCTACCCAACAAATGGCTCCATCCCTCGATATTACAATGTTTAAACTATAGACAGACTACTTGGACCACCAAAATACCATGCAAGATGTAGAATAAAATGTGTAAACCACCACCACCATCTCACACCATTGATCTGTCTAAGCTCCGTTTCTTTTATTCCATAGCACCGAAAACAAACCTAATCGATTCCTTCGAGTTATCCGAGTTGCTCGCTTATGTTCATCCACAAAACTTTGGTCTCAAGAGACAGCCACATATATTCATAAATATAATGATCACAATGAATAAAGAATAGAATTTAGTCTGCTACGGGGGGCTCCTCCACCTTTTTTTCTGTTATACCTACCATATTGCAATGTGGCTCGGAAGGGAAAACGAAAACATTACATGCATCAATGGAGGGCTGAAATCGAGCCGAGTGTCTAACAGATGTCAATGAAATTCTAGGCAATTGTTGCAAACCTGAGAGTAGAGGCACTACTTTGTAACAAAGGATGTGCTCCGATTTTGGAAGAACAAACACCGTGTCGCTGTGAGACCCAGATAACACAAAACTTTGAGAATCTGCCAATGAAAACTTAACCTCTTGAAGCAACTCGGTGTGGTTACGGATTTTAACATGGTACATGAAGGGATCTCCAAGGATGGCATATGGACGACATTCCAAAGTCCAATAATCAGTAATGACTCTACACGTACATCGGGAAGTTCGTGTTTAGTTACCACCTTGGAATCGATCACAGTCAAATCAGATCTATCTTCAATTCCGCAATGCCTCTTCCATTTTAGATACACCGTCCCCAATCTAAGCTTCAAGGAATCAAGAATAGGAATAACATTGAAAACTTTCTTGAATTCTTCTCCAGACACAAGAACCACATTGCCAAGATCTTCGTTCCCGTGTTGGATGGAACACGACTTTTCAGTTGCACCATCAACTTTAATAGCCATTGACGGTAGCTGCTAGGGCTGTAAGTGAGACGAAATAGATCGCGAGGTACTCGAGATCGACTCGATAAATACTCGGATCGAATGGATTCGACTCGAGTTCTTAACGAGTCAAAACGAGCTACTCGATATTCGACTCGAAAAACTCGTGAGCAACTCGAAAATATAATATATTAAGATTTTATTTTTTTAGAAAATAAATTATTAATAATATTAATATTTATGTATTGATTTTTTTTAAAAAAATACAGTAAGATTTTTATATATTTAAGGTTCATGTTTGAGTTTGAAGCTTCAATCGATTTAAGTTTAAGAATTTTTTTTTCATTTCGAGCCTTTTCGAGCTGCTCACAAGCTTCAGTTCATGATTTCGAGTTCGAGTCAAGCTTGAAAATTTTAAGCTCGCGAGTTTTCGAGTCGAGTCGTGCTCTATTTCAGAGTTTTCGAGTCAAGTCGAGTCGAGCTCGACTCGGCTCGTTTACACCCCTAGTAGCTGCAATGTGACCTCAGAGCAGTTCTTAGCACTAAGAACAAGTACAATTGATTCATGCAGGGGTAGTGATGAAAACTGATTGGAATCGGGGCCGGCTTGATCTTTGAAAGCAACAAGGAATCCCTGCGAAAAGGCAGCATAAAACGTTGGCTGATTAAAACTGCATCATCTCCTTCGATTTGCAACGTCTTGTGAACATTGACTTTTTGTGCATTCAACTCATAAGAAATTGGGGAGTAGCCCAATGATACAAAGAACATAACTGGCTTCGGTCGGTGCCACATGACTACTAGTTAGCAGGACCACGATTCTCCAATCTTTAGAAACGGAACAGAAACCAATCCGAAAGATTGTTGAATTTTCATTATTTTATCAGAGCCCTTTTGAGATTCCTCTTCCCGTTCTGGTCCAACAACGCCAAGAAGCTCAACATGTTGAGTGTCCAATGAAATAGGCTCAGATTCCCAAGGACTAAACATGCCACCTCCTCTCACATCCACAAGGTTTATCTTCATTTCACCAGCGTAGATGGCATGGCCCCTGGAGGCTATGGTAACTGGTACCAGAAATCTCTCTCCAACTAATGCAGGGCCAGAAGCACCAAGAATAACATCCACTTGTGGGTCAGGTTCTTCAATCTGAGCAGCCTTCCGACCAGAGAATGATAGTGCAGGATCTTTTGTGGGGAAAGTTTCCACATGGTTTTCAAACTTCCAAAGGGGCAAATCATCCATTGAAGTAGGACTTTCAGCTCTACAGCAGATATTGAAGTGGGGTCCCATTTTTGCAATAATAGATATGCATTCAAGCTTTCCACTTTGTTCTGAAAATTTTGAACGTTGTATTAATGAACTGTAGGTGTATAAAATGAAGGAAACCATGATGCTAATTGTAATATATAATTTACAGTAGAAGAGAGTGCATGTGAAAAGAAGACATCAGATCCCATATGGGTTTGGCTAAAAATAAGAACCATCAGGAACTTAAAGTTAAATATGACTTTAAATCAAGAATACGCAACCCTTCTGATTGAACTTTGAAGAAAGCAAAATTGAAAGCCCAGACAAGAAAAGAGGAAACAAGTTATTGTCAATCTGATGTAACCCTTATTTGCTATCTATGGCGAAGCACTAGTGATTTCACATAGTTCCTGGTTGATCAAATCCAAGGTTCATTCGTTGAAAGCTAAAAAGGCCACTTACAATCAACAATTTAATAATGTATTAATGACCGTAGGTTAGGTCCAAACGTGTAGCTACAATGCTGTAACAAACTCATTGCAAAGTAGTCAGGCTAATATCAAGCAACATGTAAAAAAAACCAATCAGGGTTACAGGAGAAATTAATTTTCTCTTATTTGCAAATCTAAGGACTGCCTAGTTGAATTGATTATGTGTTATCAATGTGGATGAAGTCCTAGGTCTTTATTAGATGAACCTACTATATGATGAAAACAACAAATGCAAAAATAAACGGACTTACCAGATTTGATGTCATAAATCAGCCACAGCCATTTGTTTGTAACCAGTGCTAAAGAAGGGGCACTCTCCATTCGATGATCATGTTGCTCACTCTGCACTGCTTCTAATGGACGTTTTTGAGCGTTCATGATGATAAAATTACATTGCAATTAATTAAATTGGACTTCCAACTGATCAATCTCGATGAAAAGGGGTAAATGTTATAGAAGTGATATTGTAATCGAGGAGGCACCAGACTTAAGTATCTGTTCATGAAAAGCCACTGAAGCAAGAAGTACAGATCTGAGGAGGGGTAAATCACCTACTTGCATAGCTCATGCAAACATCACTCACGGTCACGGATAACGGTAATAGCAATAAATGATCCAGGGTTAGCATATAAGTGTGTGTTCGGTGTTAAATATAGGGGAAACTTAAGACAAATATTTGCTGTGGGAATGCTATATTCTTGGTATATCTCGTATCTGCTTGAATTTGACTCGTATATTCTTTCTACGATACAGGCAACAGAAGAGAGATACAATAACAAAGGAGCATATGTTTTATTGAACCCCCCGAACTTCGATAGCCCCGAATTCCATAGTTTTGAAGCAATTACTCCAAGACCCAAGGTATCAATCTGGCTTCAATAAAATGTAAATTACCACCAATAATATGCAGTTAATTGGTATAGATTTGGTAGTCGATTGCAAGGATAAACTAACCTTCAGATGTGCAGGTGAATCCATACTATGACTTTGAGGATGTGATTGATTCCGATGAAGACTTGGACTTGGCGTCAATGGTACCCATTTGTAATGTCCCTGATCTATATGCTTTTCACAATCATTATTTTGAGAGTTGTACATGGTATTAATGGATTTTCATTAATATATGGTGTTGTTTAATAAGATGACGATGATTTGGTATCAAGAAGCATGTTATTTTCATCATTTTGAAGCTGTTTGTATTGCTATAGGTTTTAAAAGAAACCTAACTTTATGTGACTTGTTCTTTCTGAAATTATAGTGCTGAAATATGATTATTTTTGGTTAAATGGCAGAGTAAATAAGTCGACAGAGTTGATTAAGTTATTATTACTTTTATTATTATGTTGTACATATTTAGCAGTAAGCATAATACAACTCCCACCTCTTAGCAGGAGAGTGAGCTCAGTTAGGATGACATCGGGTCAATGTCAGGTTTTTGGTTAATTTGACCCGACTTGAAAATATATATCCTCCATCTGAATTCAATCTAGTCTGAAAATTTTATATCCTCCACTTGACTCGAAGACTATAAATTCGACCAGACCCGACCGACTTAAATTTTTAGATTATAAATACGGCCCAATCTGGTATAAAATAAGGATTTAATTAAAAATAATAAGGAAACTTTTAAGGAAATTATATTATTATTCTCGGGTCGGGTCGTAATTTTTTCACCCTCCACTTGAACCTGACCCAACATCACTCCTTAAAAAATTTGACCTAACCTGAACTCGATTATTTTTTAAAAAAAAAAACTCTAACTCTATCGAATTAGATCAGATGGAATCAGTCAAATTCAGATTAAATTGTTGTCTCTAACCTCAATAATCAGGGGTTATTATAATTTTTAAAAGATTTTGAATTTTAACACCTACATTTATTATCAAATAATTAAGTAATTTTTAAAAGTTACGAATCAATAATGATTTCTTAAAATTTCATTGGTGAAACTATAAAAAAAATCCAACACTGAATAAATTATTAAATATCCATTAATTAGGAGCGATAGAATATGAACATAAAAATCTTTTTTGGGCAGAGAAAAATGTTTAAAAAAAGAAGTTGGTAGTTAAGGTAAGAGTTACCACACCTAAGGTAGCGTTTGGTTCGTTGGAATGTTTATGAGGGAATTAGAATATGTGAAGGAATTGAAATCTGTCAAGAATTGGAATTCAATTTCATATTCTGTTTGGTTGGCAGGAAATGAAATTGAAATCCAATCGGAGTATGTTAATTAGTTACCAAAAAATATACCAAAAACTATTTTTATTCAATATATGAATTAGAAACCCGACCCAACACGACACAAAATAATAAAAAAAATTATTTTTATTCAATAAAAATATTGACTTAATTAAAAAAAATTATATATAGAGGGGTATTATTGTAATTATTCTTAAATATATAAGATAAAGTTATATATTTTTTTCGGGTCGGTCCAGTTTTTTTCACCCTAAACCCGAACCGATCCGACCCGACCCGAATATCACACTTAAAAAAATCCAACCCGACTCGACCCGAATATCACACTTAAAAAATCCGACCCGACTCAAACAAAATAAAGTTTCACCCGACCCGAATATATGAATTAGAAATCCGATCCGACCCGACCCAAAATAATAAAAAATTATTTTTATTCAATAAAAACAGTGACTTAATTGGAAAAAATATATAGAGATGGGTATTATTGTAATTATTCATAAATATATAAGGTAAAATTATATATATTTTCGGGTCGGGTATTTTTCACCCTAAACCCGAACTCAACCCGACCCAAATATCACACTTTAAAAAATCGACCCGACCTGAAATAATAATAAAATATTTTTATTCAATATATGGAAAAGTTGTGGAATTGTATTCCAATTCCCTTCGATCCTAAAAAATTTCATCCCCGTACAATTTTTTCTTCTAGTCAAAGTATGGTGATTGTGACACCATATTTTTTAGGTTTAGGTAAACATTTTTTAAGTAAAATACTTTAGATATCATTTATATTATTAAGTTTTCTCATTTATGTACTTTAACCAATAAATAATGAACAATAAAAATAATTAGTATACGTTACATTATAACAATAGATCACAACGATGGAATTCAGATAAATAATTTTATTGATTAATAATTTAAGTTAAAAGGTTTTTTTTTTAATAAAAATGTTTATGTTATCTAAATCTCATTCTATCTATATATTAAAAAATAAATACATTTAAACTCATGTCCTTCTTAATGTTGTAATAATAATTATGTCAATTAAGTCAAGACTTAAGCGATCTAAATTAAAAAAACTAAATTTAAAATAATATATTTGAGTATAAAACTAAAATAGGTAGATATATTTTTAATCAATGGCGGATGCACTAAGCCCTCATAGGGCCCAAGTGCATCCTATTATTTTGAAAATATAGTTAAATTTAGCTTAATGTGCTAAGGAAAAAATAAAAAAATTTACAATTTTTGCATATCTATTATTTTTAAGAAAAGAAAATTAAAATTTTGGACTCCATTCTTAAATTTCTGAATCCGCCACTGTTTTTAATATAAAATAATTTAAATGTTAAATTAGAATACGGTGAATTTATAATAAAAATAAATTGAAAAGGATCTAAATATGAAATAAAAACAAATAAATCTTAAATTTCCTCAATTCAAAACAATTAAAAAATATTAAAATAAAAAACAATTCAAATCCAAATTTTCTTATCATTTTCAACCCCTTCTTTTGGTGTATATTTAAGTTCTTTATGGTTCGGTTTGAGTCTTCAAGCTCTTAGACCGGGCCCAGTCTTGTTAAGGTACTTTTTAAGTTTGAGTCTAAGAATACCCTAAGCTAGCATAGTCCTTATATATAAAGTATTTTATATAAATTTGATGTTTAAACTAAAGTTTTATATCTATCTTCGTAAATATTGATTTTGAATTTTATTTAATTACTTTCTTATTTTATTGATAATTTTTACTTGAAAATTTTTATCTGTGTATGTCCATTAAAAATTATGTATTTATTTTTAAAAATATTTTTAGATTAGACGGTAAAGTATTGCTCTATTGAGTACAAGTATTTCTCTCAATATGGGAACATCTGTGTAGGCATTACTATATGTGCACGTACTGGAATGAATTGAAGACAGTCATCAAAGGAGGAGTATATTGTTTCCCATGCATGCAGTAACACACCGGATAGTCTTATGCATCATGCATGTATGCATGATTTAAGGTAACGTACACCCTACCAAAGCTCAATCTGGAAACCGATAAATCATTTTTTGTTGTATATATTTAATTATTTATCATGTTTTGCTTCGTAATTAACATCCTGATTTTATTTCTTAAAATCGGAAATTATAACATGACGGCAACTGCTGCAAAATAGAAAAGACAACAGTACTAACACCAGACACAACAGTAACCTATAAATACCCCAAACACAAGAGACACACAAAAAGAAGAAGAAGAAGAAGAAGAAAGGAAGCTTCCAAAATGGTGAACCCCAGCCTAAACAATGATTGACACCATCATTTGGCTTTGATAGTCAATACATCTTCCTAACTGTAAATAGCAACCAATCCAACTTAACCTAGGAACAGGAACAAATTATAAACAAAAGAAGGCACCCAAATTTAACGGTTTTAATATCTTGACCTGCGTATATGAGATTGTGTTGATAGGAAAATTGTGATTGCGAAGACTTTAGGAGAGTCGAAGACGGTGGTTCTGTAGATGTAGAAGGAAAGATGATCAGGACAAAGAAGATGACGAACGTTGCCTCAGAATGAGAGAGATCCCCTTCTTCAATTTCGCATGGCAGATTATATACCTATATTTAATGTTGGTGTCTTGCCTAAGGTGATGATTGTTATTTGTATATTGACAGGATGAAATGATCTGACCATCATATAATAAATTTAGTCGGTGACAGGATTGAGAACAATCACTCTAATTGATTGTGACAGTCCAAAGGATGTAAAACTCCTGAGATTTTTCAGGAACTCCAAAACCCTTGATACGAGGACTGCCAGTGAAGTGCAGTTTACAAAAGAGATTCAGAAGAGTTACAACAAATTTCTAACAGGAAAAATGGGGATAAGATCAAAGGGGTAAAGACGGTGGCATACATCAATATGGTAACAAACATCTATCCATCGGTAGAATTCATAAATGCAGTACTAATAATCCATATGGACTTTCTACTCATCAATCCTCAAAATGAAATGGAAATTCTTCCCCTATCTTAGAGGAGCCACATCAAAACTGAAGAGTAGAAATTAAAATATAGAATAGCAAGACTCTGCATTTATATATATCATAGGTTTTGGTTTGAAGGCTATGGTTTGGCTCAGAAATTAGGTGCAAGTCTCGGATTATATTAAAAATGAGTTTTTCTTATGATACTCTCCCCTCAGCCCTCTTGCCACTAAGAACACAAAGCTGTTATAAAATTTTATGCACAACACAGCAAAATGGCTAAAGAGAACTCACCATTCACTAATGCCTACTTTTGAGCTTAAAAATATGGACATTTCATATATATAATGTTCACAAAATTAAGTTTGTCTTATTTTGAGATTTCTCTAAGGAGCTTTATGATCCAATCCTGTCTATACTCTATTACTAGGATATATACAAAACTGTATTAAAAAATTAGGATTTATTTCAAACAAGCACAATTGTGGCAACTTATAGGATATCTCTACTATAGACATTATCTTCTTCTAGCTAATTGTTTACGTACAAAGATAAAACTATTTAAGAAACACCCTTTATAACAGTGTAGAGGGTGCTTAGATCAGTTCACATAACATTTGTGAAAGACATGAACCTAAATTTGTAATTTTCTTCTCACGATTTTGGTGTAAAAAACTGTATATGCACAATGACACTTACATTACATGGACTCCGTACCATGCAATAACAAATAAGATAAATGAAGCTTTTAGCTTCCTAATTCGGCTGTGTTGAAAAAACATTAAATGCTGTTAAAAATAAAAGGTCAAGAGCTTTTGTAGCTGAAAAGCCAAGGGTTGATACAGGAGATAATGGTCTTTTATGGTTTTTAATAGAATTTATTATTTTTTCTGTTTTTGGTATAGTAGTACCTAATGTCTATATAAAGGCCTTGTTGATTTCATTTAAAAAACAACTTAGAGGAATACAAAAGTTAAAGCATTTTGAGCTCATATTTCTCTCTATAGTAATGTTCGTATATGCTTCAGAAAGTTAAATATTTCAAGTGGGTTCTATTAGAGAGAGTTGAAAATCACTTGGAAACAGTATAGTAG